ATCTCCATCGAGTATCCCCAGAATGGGGACTAGCTCATATGTATTGCCAGAGTTATTCACTTTCCTGATTTTAATGCCAAAGCCCAGATACACAGACTCACAGAGTTCCCAAAAGTTCAGAGGGAAGTTGTTACGGTAATCATGGAGCAGAACATGCAGCACTTCTTTCATGGTGACCTGCTCCTTCTTTTGATACTTGTGGAGCAGAAATGACACCAACTTACATAACTTGGCATTTAGGAGCACATTTTGCAGGATGTGAGAGAAGCTCATGTCCTGCAAGGAGCTTGAACCCTCACAGGATTGACTCCTCTGACTGGAAGCCATGAGGACAGCAAGAACTTGTTGAGGATCAGAAGCCTTCAAATCTCCAGTGCTGGAAAATAGAGTGCTGAGCTATAGCAATTCAGCTGATCCAAGAATCCAAACCCAGATTCTGAAAAATCTCAACAGAATTCTCCACTGCACAGTGCAAGGCTAGCAACAGAGGCAGGAATGGATTATTTTCAGAGTCTCAACCTGGAATGGGGCCTTCTCTCTCACCGTCAGCCTACTGTAATAAATTTTAAAACTTAAACATTCTTCATATTTTAAAATCCCACCTCATATGGTAGATATCTTTTCTCTGTCTAGTTTCCCTCATAATGCCTTTTGATACACTGAAGTTCTTCATTTTAATGAAGTTCAATTTAATGATCTTGTCCTTCACAGGTTAGTGCTTTTTATGTCCTTTAGGTTAGTGCTTTTACAAGATCTATTCCACCAGAAGGCATACAGATATTTTTTTTCTAGCTTTGTGGTTTACCTATCAAATATAGGTCCATGATCCATTTGAATTAATTTTTGTGACAGAAAAGAGTTAAATATTTGTATGGATGTTCAATTGAACCAGAGCCATTTATTGAAAAGCTATCTTTTCGCCATTGAATTTTAGTAGCATTTCATGTAAAGTGGTTTCTTATCTGTATTTCTGGGTCAGTTTCTGAGCTTTCTACTCAGTTCCTATTGGTCTTTTGTTCTCTCCTTGTTGTACACTAGATTACCCTTCATTTATCTTTCTTTTTTTTTTTTTTTTTGTGGAACCCGGGATCGAACTCAGGACCTTGCACTTGCCACTGAGCTAAATGTCCAGCCCTCTTCATTTATCTTTTAAATGTTAAACTAACCTGCCATTCCTGGAATAAACCCAACATGTTTGTGATGTAGTATTACCTTATTGAAACATTGCTTTCAAATATTGCTGAATACAACAAAAGATGTAAATTTACTGATTGCTTTTTTGGGAACTTTTGCATTTGTGTTTCTGACAGAGATGGGACTTTAATTTTGGCTTTTTCTTTTTTAGCAGTGGCAAAGGTTATTTGAAAAAGTAAAAGTAAAAAGATATGTAAAAGTGAAGAGTAGGGACTGGGGATTTAGCTCAGTGGTTTCGCCGCCTGCTGATCCTCAGTACCAAAAAAAAAGTGAAGAGTGAAGAAAAAAGTGGCTCTGCAGAATGAGCTTGGGCCAAGTAAAAGAAGGAAAATTTGAGATAAAAGAACACCCTGGAGGAAGCAGGGCAGGCACTCATGAGAAAAGCCATGGTAGCCCCAGTCTGACTTTTCTTGAAATGTCCTTGTCAGACGTTAGTGTCAGGTTATGTTTGCCTCACAAGATACGTTGGTGAGTACTCTCTCTCTTTCCATTATTTGGAAGAGTCTGTGTAAAAGAAGGGAGTCTCTTTGCTTGCTTGCTTTTTCTTTTTCTTTTTCTCCTCTTCCTCCTCCTCCTCCTCCTCTGCCTCCTCTTTCTTTTTTTGGTACTGTGGATTGAAATAAGGGTCCTTACACTGAGCTACAGCCCCAGATCTTTAAACATTTTTATTTTTCTCTATTTTTTCTCTATTTTTTCAAATACCAAAACATGGATTGGTACGTTTTAGATGTACATGATGATAACACTCACCATAGGGAACTTGCGCCCGTATGCTATACCTTCTGCCTCTGTTTTTCCCATTCCCCCTCCCTGCAAGCTCCCCTCTCCTCCCTATGTACAAAAGCTTTGTTTCTATTTTTTCCTTCTACTTTCACTATTTTTTTCTTGTCCCTTCCTTCCTTTCTCCCTCTCCTTCTCTGTTCCCTTCTTTAAACATTTTTAAAATTTGAATTTAAAAAAGCTTTTGAGACATTTGCTCTCCACTTCCTGGATTTAAGCAGTGATCCTCCTGCCTCAGCCTCTCCTATCCTGGGATTATAGGCATGTGCTACCACCCCAGGTAAAACTGAAATTTTCTTTTCATGTTTTTTTTTTTGGTACTGAGGATCAAACTCGGATTGTTGCGCTTGCGAGGCAGGCAGCGGAACCACTGAGCTAAATCCCCAGCCCCTTCAGAGTATTTTTTTTAACTTATGGAATAAGTTTCTTAAATAGCTGTGGAATTGTTTAGATTTTTATTTCTCCTTGTATGCTTTTAGATAATTGTGTTTTTCTAGGAATTTGTCTCTTTTTTTCCAAAATTTCAAATTTATTGGCCTAGAACTGTTTATAATACTCTGTTAAGGTATATGGTGTTTACAGTGATGCCACTTTTATTGCCCTACTACTGGTTATTGTGCTTTTTTTTTTGGTACTGGAGATCGAACTCAGGACCTTGTGCTTGCGAGGCAGGCGGCGGAACCACTGAGCTAAATCCCTGCCCCTCTTCTGTTTTTCTTTAGCACACATCACCATCTAACACACCATACATTGTCCTGATTTCTTGCTCCTCCCTGTCATTCTCCAATAGAATCTCCCTGAAAGTAGAGATGCTCAATTTAATCTGTTCCCTGCTAATTTCCCAGGACTGAAACCACTTCCTTTTTAACAAAGAAAACAAGGAGTATATGTGTTCAGCAACGAAACAAGAGCTAGATGTATTTTCATGTTTGTTAGCACACATTCACAGGGCATAGTGATCATATTTATCCTGGGGGATTGGATGTACATAACAAATCCTTTTTTTTTTTTTAACTCTCCTTTGCTTTCTCCTCCCTCCTATTCCTTTTTGTTCTTTTGGTACCGGGGATTGAACTCAGGACCTTGCACTTGCAAGGAAGGCGTGGCACCACTGAGCTAAATCCCCAGGCCCCTCCCATTCCATCTCTAGCTCTACTTCCAATTTACAGAGGATCTATCCCTCTGTTTTCTATTATATATCTTTTGCTCCTTAAATTATGTATACTTTGGGTTTCTCATAGAGGAGAAATCATGTGATATTTGCGCTTGCATGTCTGATTTACATCCCTTAACATTATGGTCTCAAAGGTGCATTCATTTTCCTACAATTGCCTCAAGTTTATCCTTTATGGCAAAGTAGTTCTCAATTGTGTATAACACCACATTTTCTTTATCCATTCATCTGCTGATGGACATGTAGGCTATTTCCAAGACTTAGCTATTATGCGTTGTGCTGCCATAAACATGGGTTAGCATGGATCACCGTAATATGATGTCTTTAACTCTTTCAGTAAGAAATCTAGAAGAGGAATAGTTGGGTTGAATGGAATTTCTAGTTTCAGTTTGGTCTTTTTGTTTGTTTTGTTCTTGAGGTGTCTCCACACTGATCTCCGTAGTGGTTGCAACAGTCTGCACTCCCATCCACAATGGAGAAGGGTTCCTTTTTTCCCCACCAGCATTTGTTATTGGTTGATTTCTTGATGATAGCCATTCTTTCTGGAGTGAGATGGAATCTCAGTGTTGTTTTAACTTGCATTTCTCTAATTGCCAGTGAGTTTTTTTTTTTTTTTGATACTGGGGACCAAACTCAGGACCTTTCACTTGCAAGGCAGTCACAGCACCACTGAGCTAAATCCCCTGCGCCAGTGATGTTGAATATTTCTTCACGTACTTATTGGGCAGTGTACTTCTGAGAAGTGTCTATTCAACTGCTCGTTTTTTCATCAAGTCTTTTTTGGGGTGAGGGTCTCTTTTTTTTTTTTTCTGTACCAGGAATCAAACTCAGGACCTTGCACTTGCCAGGCAAGTGGTGCCATTGAGCTAAACCCCTGGCCCAAGGGTCTCATTTTTAAAAGTTGTTTGTATATTTCAAGTGTTAGTCCTCTATCCAGGGAGTAGCTGGCAAAAAAAAAAAAAAAAAAAATTTCTCTAGGCCCGGGGATTTAGCTCAGTGGTGCCATGCCTGCCTCGGAAGCACAAGGTCCTGAGTTCAATCCCTGGTACTGGGGAAAAATTCTTTTTTTTTCTTTGAGACAGTCTTACTATGTAGTTCAGGCTGGCCTCAAACTCATGGCACTTCTGCTTCAGCCTCCAGAGTGCTGGGATCACAGGCGTGCACCACCACACCCAGCTTTGGTACCGGGGATCAAACTCAGGACCTTGCACTTGTGAGGCAGGTGCGGCACCACTGAGCTAAATTCCTGGCCCAATCTGTAGATTGTTAACAGCTAAATTTATTGACCCTTACTCCAGAAACCTCAACTATACAGGACAGGTAGTATCTAATTTTTGTAGAGGAGGAAATTGGGGAAATTAAAAACCTAGGTTTAACCCAAACCTCAAGGTCTCACCTTTAAAAACCCAGTAAAAATCAGGGCATGGTAGTGCACACCCATAATTCCACCAGTTGGGAGGCTGAGGCAGGAGGATCACAAGTTTGAGGGAGGGCAATTTAATGATTTAGGGAGAACTGTTTCAAAATAAATTTAAAGTGCTGGGGATGTAGCTCAGTGCAAAGGCCCTGGGCTGAATCCCCAGTAGAAAGAAAAAAAAAAATCTGTAAGGGGCAGAGTGATTGGGAGGTAGAATTCACAGTGCGGAGCCTAGCTCTGCACTGCCTCCCTTGCAGCTGAGCACGTGGGTCTTGAGCCACTATCAGAATGGTGCAGGGATGAATCATTCTGCCCTGGGCGCCGCCCAGTGGTGAATGCGTTCCTTTTAGTTATCAAACCCAAGAAAGCAACATTATCCCAGGTTGCGGGGAGGAGAAGGGAAGTTGCAGGATTCCCGGAGTCTTGCCCGGGAGCACGCGGATGGAGTCCGGAACTCAAAGTCTGGGTTTCGAGTTTCCGGTCGGAGGGCTCCTATCGCGCTCCCGGAAGCCACGTCCGCTGCCCGGGTAACGGGCCGGCGCACTGTCTTGTTCCGGCGGGATGGAGCTGGAGGAGGCGGTAAGAAGGACGCTGGCGGGCTGGGGGCGGCCACGGGTGGGAGGTGAGCGGTTTGGGGAAAGAGGCTGGAGTTTCTGGCTCGGCGAGGTTGCTGTGAGGGGGGGCGGAGCTGTGGGTTTGTGGGTGGCCACCCGCTTGACTCGCCCGTCTCCACGGGACTACCCACGAGTTCCCTTTGATGTGGGGGTCCGGGGCCGGAACCCAAATGGCCCCAGGGAATCCCTGCGTCTCTCTGGGAAGCTTGGCCCCCTCTTGCGTAGAGATTCCCAAATTCGGGTGCGGGGGCACCCGGAGGTGTCCGTTATCAGTAGCGTTGTCAGTGAGGGGTCAATGGAAATTCTACGAAGTTATCAGAATAAATTTGACATGCATTTTTTACATACTGCATAAAATACTGCCTTCTCTGATGGTGTTAAGTGAGTCTCCGGTAATTAAGTGGTAACAAGAAGTCAAACAGCAGAGAGAGGGGAGTCAGATAATTAGGCCCCTGTGTGCAGAGCAAGATGGGGATAGAAAGTCGGTAGTAGCTGCTTGGTAAAGGTTAATTCACTAATGGACGATTAATGTCTAAATGCTAAATATGAAATTAATAATTACATAGTTCACATATACTGTGAGTGGATCCCGTGTCTCTTTTGTTCGCCTTTGAATCCCCAGAACCTGGTAAAATGACTGCTGCACACATAGTTGAGACCCTTTCTACTGCTGAATAAGTAAATCAGAACTTGAAACAGCATTAATAAAAATCTAGTTCCTAAAAAGAATGGAAGGTAAACAATAGAAATAGAAACAAAGTTGTGTAAAGAGGGAAGGATTGAAGGGAAGGGAGGGGAATGGGAAAAAAAAGAAGATATGTTACTTACAGGTACAAATTCCCTACGATGAATGTGATCTTAGGATTTTATTTGTTTGTTTATTTATTTTGGTACCGGGGATCGAACTCAGGACCTTGTGCTTTTGAGGCAGGCGTTGGAACCACTGAGCTAAATCCCCGGCCCTCAAACAATGAATGTGATCTTTGTATATGTCAAAAGTGTATCAATGCAATTAATTTTTTAAAATCTAGTTCCTTTGAAGTATGCATGTGTTTTTAGTCTCCTACCAGAAATTCCAAATGGCCTGTCTAATTTTTAAATCTGCATACTTACATCTTGTCTTTTTTTCTCACAACACTTTCAAGGAGTTTTGGTTTGGGGCGGGGGTTGGTACCGGGGATTGAACTCCTCCTTGTGCTTTTGAGGCAGGCGGCGGAACCACTGAGCTAAATCCCCAGCCCTCAAGGAGTTTGTTTTGTTTTGGTACTGGGGATTGAAACCAGGGCTTTTTCACTGAGCTATATTCCCAGCCCTTTCTTCTTTTTTTTTTTTTTTGATACCGGGGATCGAACTCAGGACCTTTCAAGGCAGGTGGCTGAAGAACTGAGCTAAATCCCTGGCTCCCTCAAGGAGTTTTATATTCTCATCTTTGTTTACAGTTTACCCTTATCACCTTTTGTCTTTCTTTTTTCCCCTCATTCTCTGCATATTTTGGTACATTTTCTCTAATAACTTAATTCACTTTCACACTGCCCAAAAGACTGAATGTTTCCTAGCTGAGCATGGTGGCGAACACCTATAATCCCAGCACTTGGGTGGCTGAGGCAGGAGGATCGATGAGAGTTCAAAACCAGCCTGGGCTATGTAGTGAGTTTAAGGCCAGCCTGAACTACATAGATCCTGTCTCAAAAAAAACCCAGGATAGGGCTGGGGATTTAGCCTCAGTGGTTCCGCTGCCTGCCTCCCAAGCACAAGGACCCGAGTTATCCCCGGTACCAAAACAAAAAACAAGATAAAGAGAGAGAGAGACTAAATGTTTCTTGTTTGCAGATAATCTCTCTGACATCTTTTCCGGGAATTTTTTATTGATAAGTGTAAAATTGCCAGGAACTTAGAACTAAGAACTGCAGGCTTTAGGATTATGGTTTAATAATAAGACTTTTTCTATCTTTTCCTATAGAAAGAGTTAAAAGAGCGCTGTTCTCAGTGTGATGCTATCTCTTGGGGTCTCACTGAGGAAGGGAAATATTACTGCACTTCCTGCCACAATGTTACAGAGGTAAGTAACAGAGGTCATTTTTTAATTTGCTTATGTTTTAAAAACTGTAGCTGAAGCCTGGGCTGTAGCTTAGTTCCCAAAGAAGTGATGTATTTTTATCACTCATACAAAGCCCAGATTCTAAGAAGGTCAGTCGTCCTCTGGTCATCTTCAAGTTAGGAATTTGAAAATCAAATTGAGAATGAGCAGCTGGAATTAAAGACTTTGGTATGAATTATCCTAACCATTTAATCATCCTGAACTTCTGTAAGTTACCTTAAAAAGTAATACTTTTTAAGAATTGAAATTTCAGGGGCTGGGGATTTAGCTCAGTGGTTCCACTGCCTGCCTTGAAAGTGCAAGGACCCGAGTTCAATCTCTGGTACAAAAAAAAAAAAAAAAATTGAAATTTCAGAATTGAAAGCAGTTTTAGAGTAACATTCAGACATGGGAAAGGAGGCTGAGACTAAACTGCATGTAGGTTAGACATCAGCAGTTACAATAAACACACATTGTTTTCATACCAAAGCGTGTTTTGCATACAGACAAAATTGAGTAAGTTTGACTTTTGGGTTGGTTTGGTGTGAGAGCCTTAAAAGTTTATTCATTTAGCAGACACTTAGTGATGATTACTTTGTTCAGGTACTATTTTAGGAACTGAGAAATTTTGAATGAAAAAGCAACATCAAGATGAACCAGAATGTTAGGTTTAATATAATTTCCCCAAGATGTTACCATCCTTGGTCTTGGAGCTCACTTGGGTTCTTTATATTTACCAGAGCATCTTTGGAAATATTGCATAGGGCAGTAGGAAGCTTTCTTAACATCTGTTCTGGTTTCCTACAGAGATCTAAGGAAGTTATCAACACTGACATTATTCCTAACACCAAGATAAAATCCATCAGCAGAGGCCTCAAAAGAAAAAGCAAACTAGGTGAGCTCTTTCTTCATAAGTGCTGAATGTCTTTACTCACATCTTTCACCATGATGATTTGGGGACATGGAATGGGATTTTAAATGAATACTAGAGAAAACACCAGATTTTAAAGCTGGTTATCTGAAACAGAATTAAAGATGGTAACTACGGATGGTAAGATGGTAAGCGAATATATTGAAGAGTATCTTTTTCTTTTTTATCCTGCTTTTTGTCAGTGAGTTGCATTTCTGGTGGAGCAACTATTACGCAAAAGATGGTAATAGCAAAAGGAGCACTTGTTCTTTTTACCTCCTAGCATATTTCTTCAGTCCTTTGTATCTATTGATTATGAGTAAGATTTTCCGTGCTTTTAAAGGAAAATGCTTCTTTGCTGAAATGATTCAACTGTGGAGATGTCAGATGAGGCAAGTTAAACATGATATTCAGCTTTGCCAACCCTGTTTCTCACACTGAATTTGAACACACCCTTTTCAAATAGGGAAGATTATTTTCCCTTAAAATAGCCATGGGTGTGCTGGGAAAGGTTGTTATGTCATTAATCCAGTGAGCGCCAATAATTAAGCATGATTGAGAAGGGGCTCAGGTAAAGTCTTCGAGATGCTTGCCATTTTAGGACTAATGACCAGATGCTGAAGTTTGAAACCAGGATAATGATCATGGTGATTCTTCTACATGAGGTGGCTCTGAGGACATGCACATGCACGTGCGCGCACACACACACACATATATGATATATATCTCATATATATGTGACATATTTATAGGACATACATTGACATTCTTAGGTAAAGAACAAAGAATACCTAAGTGCTAACTCATGTTCCTATTTGAGTTTTAATAATAACTTTTTACTGGGCTAAGACCTGATTAATTTTTATTAAGTTTCATCAGAATAAAACCTGATGAATTCAGACTTGACAGACTGACATAGTTAAATTATGTAATTTAATCTTAAATTTCTTTTGGGGCTGGGGATTTAGCTCAGTGGCGCACTGCACCTCACCTGCCTCACAAGCACAAGGTTCTGAGATCGACCTCTGATACAAAAAAAAAACCAGCTTAAATTTCTTCAGGAATGTTATGATTTAGATCAAGGATGACCCCCAAGGCCAGGGATTTGGCTCAGTGGTTCTGCTGCTTGCCTTGCAAGCACAAGGTCCTGAGTTCAATCCCTGGTGCCAAAAGAAAAAAAAAAAAGATCCCCAAAATTCTTGACAAGAACTTGAGGTGCTTTAGTAGGTGTATGCTTAGTGTCTGTATCTGTAAAAAGAGAATAGTGAGGAATAGTGAGCTCTTGTTACCTTTGCTGCCTTGTGTGTGCCATGTTGTTTCTGCTCTGCTATGCCTGTTTGTTGTCCCTGCCTTGGAGTTGGCTGATTATGGACTGAAACTTCTACGAACTGTAAGCCAAATAAACCCCTTCCCCTTTAAAAAAAAAAAAGAAAGAAAGAAACTACAATTTGTTCAATGTGGATACAAGGACAAAATAAAAACTATTCACAGTTACCTGAAAAAGATATTAACATACTTCTCCTTTTTCAAATTCTTATCTGTGTGAGGCCAGATTTTCTTCATATACTTTAGTGAAAGCAAAATATCACAATAGAGTGAAGAGAAAGATTTTTTAAAATGTAAAATGCCATTCTTACCGGTTATGTTAAAAATTATAATTATTTTGAATAAAAATGTGTTTATAACAACAAAGAGAATATCGATGCCATTTGTTATGTAAAATAGGAACTCAGAATTAGAGTACAACTTTATCAGCTTCTAAGTGCCCAGAATGGTGCACAGGACCCGTGTGTGCATGTGTGTGTGCATGTCTGTGTTGATACTCACTCAACTTTGGAATGACCAGGATCACAGGCTCCATGTTACACCTCCTGGATCCCTTCCGTGTGGGAATCGGGTCAGTCAGGACAGCTGGGAGACTTTGAGACATTCCAGTGAGGGACAGGAGTTGGAATCCTCAAGTGCAGGGCAGAGGCAGCTGGGGGCCAGCAACAGGCTTCAGAAGTTATGTATAAAACCTGGTGATCACTTGCTGTTAAGAGTGACTGTCCAGCAGCAAGGGATAAGATACAGAGGTCTGCACAGGTTAAATGTTTTCTCTAATCGATGGCAGTAGTAATTTAATGGAAACGCTGTCCTCTGTGGTGGCAAATTTCTTTACAGTCTCTTAGGGCTGCTTGGAGGATGCAAGGAAATAACTTCTATGCTCCTGGTACCTAGCCCAAAATCAGTTCCCTTGCTATCAGTTTCTCACTGTGTCCTAGAATCACGCCTTTGAATAGTCATAGTGCCTTTTTCTATGCTCAGGGACATCTGATGGATCTCGTGTCATTCATTGACATTTGTTCACAGATTCGCCAAGTGCTCTGTTTCTGTGTGAGTCAAATAAAAATCTGGGGGGAAAGGGCAGGGGATTTAGCTCAGTGGCACCTCGCCTGCCTTGCGAGCACAAGATCATGAGTTCAATCCCCAGTACCAAAAATAAAAACAAACCCAAAAACTGAGGGGAGCCATGGCTACTCAGTACTTCCCTTTAGGGTTCTGCTAGGCATTGCTCAGTAAAATGCACATTTCTAAAACTTATTTCACTGGTGCTTTTAACATAATGACTCTTCTTTTGCCCCTTAGATGAATATTTCAGAAAAACTATAGATAAAACATTAAAAATCTGGTAAATTGTACAACATGCTTAGGTTGTTAGCATTTGTGTACTAATTTGCTCAGTTGGGAACAAGGGATGTAAGAATGGAAACTCAGGGCTACCCAGAAAATCAGAGTGCAGTGTATAAGCACAGATTATAATTATGTGGTAGTGTCATAGCCGATCAGGAACACAAATGTCTAAAGCATGGCTATTTGTCACTCAGAAAAAGGCTGGGATTGGTATGTGTGCGAAGGATTTCAGCACATACTTTGTCAGCAAGCAGAAGTGCTGAAGACCCTCGGAGTAGCCCCAGAATTAAAGGTGAGCCTGTCCGTGTGTAGAAGTTAGCTTTACCTTTTGTGGGTGGAAGAGTAGGGTTCAGAGTGCAGCTGGGGAGATATCAGTAGTAATATTGGAAGGGTACACATGTAGAAGGTATTTTCTTTCTGTGATCTTAATACAGAAAAAGAAGGGATTCAACTAGGTGATATTTAGTGTCTTTCCCTTCTCTGAAATCTAAGACTAAAGAGTGTTTGTCTGTGTTGCCCATATACTTGGCACTGTGATGATAGCTCTTGTTAAGGAGGAACAGTAAGAACGCGCTAGGGACAGGACCCGTGGGCAGCACAGGAGATTCTGCAGTCCATGCATCCGCGTGTCTGTGTGAACCACAATTACCGCTCATTCCCCTTCCACCTCAGAATGAAGTTTTACACAATTTTTGGAAGCGCTACCTGCAGAAAAGTAAGCAGGCATATTGTGCAAACCCGGTGTACACCAGTGGAAGGAAGGCCCAGGTGGGTTGCGGCTCTGAAAAGTGGGACTGCAAGATGTGTGGGAAACTGTGGAGGCAAAGGCAGGGGAGCCCGAGGTGGCTGCCGGCCCCGAACTTTGCCTCCCCAGTAAGCGTACTGCGGGGTGCTGGGTGGGCCTCGCCTCCCGTCGGTGCTGGCCAGAGGGCGCCCCATTTGAACCGGTTCCCTGCTTCTTCACTTCATTCTCTCGAGAGCTGCTTAAGCAAGTCTTATCTCCTGGTAGTAAGATCCAGTTTCTCGCCCTGCGGGGCTGGGATCGTGGCTTTTGACTACGGTCAGTCCCTCAGGTTATATCAGCTAACCAGGCCCTGGCTTGTAGGGATGCCCTGAGCATGCTTTTAGTGTGTGCCGATGACCGTGATGTGGTGAGTGCACCCTGCTGCTCACCTGCTCTAAACCCTAGGTGCTGCAGGAGCTCAAGGAAATGAGAAATCCTTGGAAGAGTGATCAGAGAGACAGCATGATAGAGGAAGTAGTGAGTAGGAGAAAGGAAGAGTTCAGGGAGGAGAATTGGCACTAGCAAAACACAGAGCAGAAATTATGCAGGTAGGAAGAGGCCAGCAGCCTGCATGGATCATTGTTGATTCTCTGTATTTTTATCCTGAGGGGGCCCCCGTCTGTAGCTCTCCTCTTGGAAGCACTGGTGGGTGCTGTCCGGCAGCACCTTCCCTTCTGGAATTGAGGGCATCTCAGACCTCGGGGCCTGCTGGACTTGCAGTTCTCTAGAGTGGTTCTTCTAACTGTATTTGTGTCCCTCAGGAATTGTTTCACCTCGCAGACGTTAACTGTTTTCAGCTCCTGTGCAGCCATTTTATTTGCATGATCTTGCAAGCAGGTGTTGAAAGATAATGTCCATCATTCAGACTGGGCGAGTGGGTCTGAACTGCTCAGCGATGCTAGCTGTGCTTCCAGCCTTGAAAGTGGAGCTGAGTCGAAGTCTGACGTCCCAACACCAAAGCCTTTTCCTGCCCTGAGAACACCACAGTCAGGTAAAGATAAGAAGCGGGCTGCCGGATATCAAAGCCAGCCCTGCCTCGAAGTCATTTAGCCTGGCTTCTAGATCCAGGGAGGGTCTTTGTGTTCAGAAAGGCACCTCTCGTCTCCAGGGAGTATTTTTGTGTGGCCTTCAAAGGGAAATAAAGAGAAAGTGGATCCACAGAAGAGGCTTGCTCCAAAAACATCATGTATGTGTGGGCTCAGAACTTTTAGAGAAAGTTGCAGTAGAAAATGTTGTAACTTTGCCGCATGATAAAATAGTCAAGAGGCAATGATGGTATCCCCAGTTTCGAAACACAGATCGAGGCAAGCTGAGTAAATTTTACTCTATTATTTGTGTGACTGCTTTCTGGTTGAATTCTATAATTTAAGATAGATAAGGAAGCCAGGTGTGGTGGCACACACCTGTATCCCAGCCCTCGGGAGGCTGAGGCAGGAGGATCGGTTTGAGTTCAAGGCCAGCCTGAACTACATAGCAAGACCCTGTCTCGATAAAACAAAACAAAAAATAAAATAAAATAAAAATGTTCTAAAAAAAAAAAAATTCATGTTCACTACTAAAAAATTCAAATCTTCCTTTCAAACTCCACCCTACATCACTCCCACAGGTGACAGTCAGGTCCCTTCCTTGCTGATGACCTTCCTCACCCTCATCACTTCTCATTGGCAAATCGCTCTCGTGACACAGATGAGTTGTAACCTGATTTTAAGATATTTTAAGTAAGGGCCGGGGATTTAGCTCAGTGGTTCTGCCGCTTGCCTCGCAAGCACAAGGACCCTAGTTCTATCCCCGGTATCAAAAAAAAACCAAAAAAAGATATTTTAAGCGACCGTTTGAGGTTGTTCCTGTGATGTTCTTTTGTTGGCTTTTGCGTCTTTCAGAGTCTCGCTCTGTCCCTGCAGTGGCTGCATCTGTCTGTTCCGGGTCCCTCGATGGCATGGAGTACTCGGAGTGGAAGGAGAAAGGCATCTTGAAGATGACAGTGCCGGGGACACTCGCTCTCTGCTACCTGTCCTTGCTGTGGCAGAGAGAAGCAGTGACTCTCTCCGATCTTCTGAGGTGAGCCCGACGTACCGTGTGGCAGTGCTTCTGCCAGCTCTCTGTGAACTACAAGAACACCTTTGGGTATTTTGTTAGGGCCGGGGATTTAGCTCTGCCGCCTGCCTTGCAAGTGCGAGGTCCCGAGTTTGATTTCCAGTGCCCAAAAAAAAGAAAAGAAGGGGATATTTTGTGGTGGTTTTTTGCTTTTTTGAATCAGGGTCTCGCTAAGTAGTTCAGGCTGAACTTGAACTCACTGTGTAGCCCAGGCTGGCTTCGAACTCATGCTGATCCTCCTGCCTCAGCCCCCTGAGTGCTAGGATAATAGGGTGCCCCACCACACCCAGCCTCACTTTTGGATATATATATAAATACTTTTTTGGTACTGGGGATTGAATTGGGGTCCTTGAGCTTGCAAGGCAGACAGTGGAACCACTGAGCTAAATCCCAGCCCTCCTTTGGATATTTTTAATTTTGCAAAACAGCCTAACATGAGAAAGGATCTGAAAGGTTGGAGAAACAGTTGAATTCTGAGGTTTAATTTCCCCTCAGGTATTCATCTCCTTGATTTTCTTATTTATGTGGTAGAAATAATAGTATTTACCTCTGGTGGGATATTGGGCAATTAATTATCTCATGTAAAGACAAAGGTAACATAAAAGTGCCTGAGTAGGAGTATTAAATTTTTTACAAGTCACCCCCCCCCGCCATACTGGGGATTGAACTCAGGACCTTGTGCTTGCCAGTCAGGCGCATTGCCACTGATCTACAGCCCCAGCCCCGGAGTATTAAATTTTTTATTTATTTGTTTATTGAGATAAGGTCTCACTACTATGTAGTCCAGGCTGGCCTCAAACTCATGGCAGTTTTCCTGCCTTAGCCTCCTGAGGGCTGGGATTACAAACATGTGCTACTGTGGCCAACTTGGAGTATTAAATATTTTTTAAGAAAAGATGAACTTTACATTAGCAAAGTGGTTGTTAGTAGTTGACAAAGCATACGTTAGTGTTGAAGAGCTAAAATACAGGTTATCTATGTTCTTAGGAAAACTTGAAAATAAAACCATGAGGTGAAGCTGTTGAAGAAACAGTAGACATTTACATTTTGCTTTTTTTGTGTGTGGTACCGGGGCTTGAACTCAGGACCTTGCACTTGCAAAGCAGGCATGGTGCCACTGAGCTAAATCCCCAGCCCCGACATTTATATTTTTCAAGGTAGTCTGCAGGATTTTATAGTTCATGAGTTGAGTAACTATAGCATTGCGTGTAAGAATTTCTCACTTGATTGATGTAACAAAATCATGAGTGTGAATTTTCCCTCCCTGTGCACATTCTGAAGAACAGCATTGGGTTAGTCCGTGTGGAGATTTGGAGCCATTTCTATTAAATGATTAATAATTCTCTGAATAGAGAATCAGAGAATCAGAATATTCTCTGAATAGAATAATTCTCTGCTTCTTTCTTCACTGGTAAAAATAATAGCTACCTCACAGGTTCTGAACAACTTTCAGAACCAGGACTGCATGCAAAGTGTGTCATAAGAACCTGGTCCTGGTCACAATTATTTTTAACTCCATCATCGCTATCATCATTATTGTTGGCACTCAGCCCTTTCATTAAATAAAAAGCTTCCAGGAATGATCGTGCCTTTGAATTTGGCCACATCAACCCCATAACAAAGCCTTTCCCAGGCATGATTAACTCCGCCCGCAGAGACTCGGGGTTCAGGGGTTCTCCCCCAACTCACAGCCTCCGCTTGCTCCATGTGCTCATCGGGTGATATCACCCTTGCCCAGGCCCTAATTAGCACCCTTGCTGAGGACTCCAGCTTCTATCCCCGGCCCAGACTTGTCCGCCAAGGGCCAGAGCCATGTATTTATGTGTGCAGCCGCCTGCCTGCTGGACACACTCCCTGGATGTCTTGGCACTATCTAGAGATAGGCCTCAGCCGTCCTCCACCAGCACTGGCTGGCTCAGTGCACACCCTGCACCCTGCTCCATCTGTCAGGAGACCTCAGGTCATCTTCATTCCTTCCTCCCTCTGCATGCAGTGGGTCATTATGTGCTATCAGCTCTCCTTCCAGAATCACCCTCTGTCCTCACCTGGATTACTTAACAATTTCCCAACTGAGCTCTGGGTCTGCAATCTTGTGTCATTCCTGCCCATTTTCCTGCTGATAACCAGGGAGAGCTTTAAAAACACATCAGTCTCATCACATCCTTGGAGCTGGGTAAAAGGGCTGGCTGTGCTGCCCAGGGCGATCCTGGGATGTTTCCAGCTGTCCTGGAAGTCTAAGGAGCTGCAGAAGAGGTGATGCGAGAGCTCTCAAAGAAGCAGCTTCGCGGAAGGAGAAAGGAAGATCCTTTCCCCCTTCCCCCTCTGTCCCCTCCTCCTTCCCTCTCCTCCCCAACCAAGGAGATTTGAAAAATGTCTTCGTGGAGATGGGATCTGTTAGCCGGAGGGCTTTTCTTTGGCTCTGTGAGGTGTAAAGGTTTGGGAACAGAGTTTAGTTGCCTGGGGTAATAGGAGAAGGGGCCGTCGCCATTCCATTCGTCCTCCTCCTCTGCTCTTCTCCCAGAAATTTTCTGCTGGAAGCCACAGGTTCTCTAGGTGTGGCTTCCTGAGCAACAGCTTCAGCAGTACCTGGGAGCCGGGCACCTGTCCTTAGCCCCACTCCAGACCCTCCGAGCCCTACTACAGAGGAGGGGTAGAGTCTAGGTCTCTACTTCATGAAGCCCTCCAGGGGATTCTTCAGGATGCTGGAGTCTGAGAGCTGCAGCTGAACTTTGAAAAATAAATTTCCAAAGAACACTGATTTGAAGGGAATCGTTATGAGCCTGGCCAGAATACCCAAAGGTCTTAGGGTAAGTGTAGGTGGCCTTAGTTACTCCCCTGTTTAAATCTTCCAGCAGCATCTGTATCCTTCATGGTTAATCCCTTCAAGCATCCTGGAAAGGTCCTTGCCTACCTAACAGTAACAGTTACACCTGGAAACAGCTGGCACTTATCTGTTCCCCAAGTATTCACTGAATATCTACCTTTCTGGGGCAGAGGCCTGTGAGATGTAGGTGTGAGCCACACAGGTCAAGCCCTTACTTTCTCGAAGTTCTAGGCTGGAGGAGGAAACACCACCAAATACATAAGCAAGTGAGAAAATGAGCAGACAGGAGCTGCAGTCTACAGATGAACATTCGGTGATATGAAATAGAGTCCCTAGAGGGCTCCGTCGGGGGGGCTTTTTGAGACAAGGTCTCTATGTAGCCCAGGCTGACCTTGGACTCAGACCAGTCCTCCCGCCTCAGCTTCCCGAGTGCTGAGGTTTACTGGTATGCCCCACCATGCCCTACAAATGGCTACTTTAGATTGGCTATTGGGGAAGGTGGAATTTGAACTCAATTTTTTTTAGACAGAGTCTCACTATATAGTTTAGGCCAGGTTTGAACTCATTATGTGGCCCAGGCTGGCCTGAAATTCACAGTGATCCTCCTGCCTCAGCCACCTGAGTCCTGGGTTCACAGGTGTGCGCCACCACACCTGGCCTCAAGCACACTTTGAATGAAAGTAGAGCCAGCCTGTGAGGCTCAGAAGCCCCAGCAGTCCGGGTAGACAGAGGCTGCTAGTGCCGAGTCCCAAAGCAGGCACAGGCTGGGTGTGATCAGGCCTGGGGAGAGAATCCACATGGTGTGCTGGTGAGGCCAGAAGTCACTAGGCACGGCATGGGCAGTTCTTTGTGAGGGGAGCTGTGAATTTGGGTGTTTTTTAGGTTGAAGCATAATTTGTATAAGAACATTCACCCTTTAAAGATGTGCAATTTGCTGGGCATTGTGGTGTATGCCTGTAATCCCAGCTGTTTGAGAGGCTGAAGCAGGAGAATCCCAAGGTCAAGGCCAACCTGGGCAATTTAGCAAGACCCTGTCTCAAAAAGTGAAAAGAAAAAAAAAAAAAATGAACTGGGAATGTAGGTCAGTGGTAGAGCACTTACCTAGGATGTAGGAATCCCTGGGTTCAATCCTCAGCAGCTAAAAAAAAAAGTAGGAGATAGAATTTGCTTAACTAATTCTTCCCCTTTGTTGTTTTTTAAAATTTTATTTATATTTTTTTACTTTCCCTTTGAAGTAAGAGATTTTCACAGTTTGCTAAATCAATACAAAACTCTGATTGAAACTTTTTCTTTTTAAAAATACAGATTTGTTGAAGAGGATCACATTCCTTACATAAAGGCTTTTCAGAGTTTCCCAGAAGAGATGAAGTTGTATGGACGTGACAAAGGAATCTTTGCTATAGAGGTGAGTTCTTTCCTTTATAACCTTCTTAATAAGTCACTAATAACACACAGCCGTAGCCAGGTGCAGCGGCGCACACCTATAGTCCTAGCACTTGGAAGGCTGAGACGGAATGATCAGTGCAGATTCCCGGCCAGCCTGGGCTACACAGTGAGTTCAAGGCCATTCAACTACATAGTGAGACCTTGTCTCGGAAAAACAAAACAAAACAAAAGACACAGCCATGTGGGATTTACATTCTATGCCTGACTCAGTACTCGGTGTTGGAGTTTTTTTAGCTTTTTTATTTTTCATTTTTTGGTACCAGGGATCAAACTCGGGACCTTGTGCTTACAAGGCAGGTGCCAGAACCACTGAGCTAAATCCCCGGCCCTATGTTGGAGTTGTTTTTTTTTTAAATGTCTAGTTTTTGTTCTATCAAAACATGGAATATTATTTATAGTTTGATGAAGAGTAGAATTATGATTTTTTGTTTTCCTTATGTGGCTTTTTGTTATTTGCTTTGGAGGAGAGAGAAAGTTACCGCCTGTTTCAGGAGACACTCATCTAAGTCTTGCATGGGTTACTCTCTTCCCCAAAAACAATACCGAGCTGGAAAATAATCGACTGGGGAAAATTAGAAACCAAAAATGCCAGCCCTGATCAATCAGCCTATCCTGACCTTCAGAAAAGGAATCCCTTGGGTGCCGGTGGGGTCAATTCCTGCCCAACCCATAAGTGTGAATCCAGTGCAGACTCGAAGTGAAATCCACACAGCTTGGCCTTTCTTAGTGACTGAGGTCGCTTTAGGGGAACTGTCTGCGGTCCAGGAGTGCCCAGGGGTCCCTAGTAGAGCTGCATGATAAATGAAGCTCAGGCATGACCCCAGTTTTACATAAGGGCAGGTACCTTGGAAAGACGAGGTGACCTGCCTGTCCAGACAGCTGGTGTCTCGAGCTTGAAGCAACACTGAGGCTTTGTACCCATCCTGTCACCTTCTGGTCTGTTTGCCTTGTTCTTTAAAACCCTTCACTGGCTTCTGTGAAGGTCCAGTGAGGGCCTGTCACATTGAATCCTATAAAGCAGTCATTTGGAAGCATTAGCCAGGAGGAAGTGGACGATTGCAAATGCAAGTAAGTCAGCCCATGCCACCTGTAACATTTAGATCTCACGTTGTTAAATAGCAGCAGCACTCTGCTTCCCATTAGGGTGATTTGTAGGGGACATTAAGCTTTGAAACCAGAAGTAGCTCCAGCTCAAAGACCTAACGGGACTTGGGTGGGAGCAGTTCCAGGATTAGGTACTTTATAACTCAGTTATTACTCGTGTCCACTCCACGAGGAATGTACTGTGCATTATTATTACTTCCCTGTTTGGAGGTGAATCTCATTCACTTGCCTGCTGCTCTTTCTCTGAATGGAGCCCGGATGACCACATCAGGTCTTGATTTTTGAGAAACAGGAGGGACCGGATGAAGCCATGAGGGTTGGCTGGGGACAGTTTGAGGGGACAGAAGGAACAGGAAGTAGGGGTCAGGGTTGGAGATGAAAAAGGGCTCCAGATTGGTCACTGAAATTGGACAACAGGTGGCCAAGGCAGGGAAGACCCAGAAGGTTAGGGGTGGGTGAGATCAAAGAGGGTCTGGGCTGGCCGGCCAGAGAGGCTGCTGGTGTGGGTTCTCGGAAAGCACGTTTGTCTCTCAGCTTGGGCCGGATGAGATGCTACAGTTGCTGAACGTGTGTGAAATCAGGGTACCAAAGTGCATGGTGCTCCTACCACCTCTGGAGCCCTGTTTGCGCCCGGGAGGAGAACAGTGCAGCTGCTGTCAAGGCCAGCCTGGACACACATGCAGGGTATGTCTCTCTTCTCCAAGGCATGCCCTGCTGACTGAGCAGTCTGGACTTCCAGGCTGGCCTGGGATAGACTGATGGTCCCCTGAAACTGGCATGAAGTAGGGGTTAAATAATAGCCTTGAAAATCTGTCCCTTTATATTTAGCAGCTGAAGAGTTGTTCGTGGCTAGTCATCTAAGCTTTGTTAAATGTTCTTTTAGGGAGAGACTCTGGTTCTCTAACCCTTTTCCTGGAGAGACCAATACTACCGAGTGAGCATCTTTGCATTAGTTACCAGCTTACCCTTGGCTCATAAAAAATTCTCCCTTTCTTCCACCTCCCTCCCTTTCCTCCCTGCTTCCTTCCCCCACCCCTTCTCTCTCCCATAATCACCAGTGTTTCCAGGCCTTTTGCCCTGAGTAGGGCTGAGTGTGATCTAACTTGTGTTTCATACCAATTTTCTGTCCGCGCTGTCTGTACATTGATGATAGTGAAGCCCTTCACCCCTGCTCAAGTCTCTCTCGAGTTAGACAGTGATGTTTGTTTTCTGTTTTGTGTTTCAGTTAGCAATCCTCACACCTCGGGTAAACCTCATGGCCAATGGTAGTGTGTGGAGCTCACTCTGGCCGTGTGTGTGTGTGTAGACAGTTTTTGCCTTATAATCAGTTTGCTCTGATAGGGACGCTGCTACCCACGGGAAACTCCCATCACATGAACGTTCCTGCTTAGTGCTGTCTGCCTGGGTTAATTCAAAAGGCTTGTCTTCAGGCTCACAGGTTCTTTCTTCTCTGTAATCTCATCTACTATTTTCACTCTCGACCCAATTTTTATTTCATTCATTGAATTTTTTCTTCAAGTTTTAGGTTCTTTTTTGTATCTATCTCTGCCGAATTTCTTTTTCAGGTCACGAATTGTTTTCCCAATATCGTTGTGTTCTCTTGAATATCACTGAGGTTCTTTGAGATCATTATTTTGAATTCCTTTTTAGGGATTTCATAAATAAATCTCCTATGTCAATCTGTTAGTGAAGACTGTGTTCCCGTGGGACCGTCATGTTTTTTGTGTCCCTACATTGGTAACTAATTTTTTGGAGGTTTTTCCCCATATGGGGAGCCCTGCTCTGGGGGTGGATGTTGGGGTGTTCTGGGTGTGGTGCATTAGCTTTGGTCCAGGATGGATGCCACAGTGTGGTCCCCACAGTGTGGTCCCCATGGTTTCTTCAGCTGTACCCCTTGTCACTGGCGCCTATGGCAGCATCAGTGGCCTTGGCTGTGGGTGTCATTGTCTCCAGTGGTGTTGCGTAGCTCTTGCTGGGGGCAGGACTGCTGCCTGGCCAGCTGTCAGCTGGGACGGTGTCTGGCTGACTGTTGAAATGGACTCTGATGTCCAGGGGTCGGGGCAGCCTGCGTTGTGACAGCCTGACCAGGGGATAGGGCCAGCGCCTGGACGGCTTCCAGACTGGGCTTGGGTGCTCCCGGTGCCAGGGCTGCTTGCTGATGAGAACAGCATGCTGCCTCTGACCTTTGACCTTCCCGTGTAATGTGCCTTCCTTCCCTCCGGCTGCTTTTTGAGATTTTCTCTTTCTCTCTGGTTATTAATTAGATTTTTGTGTGCCTTGTCTTGGTTTTCTTTATATGTCGTTTGATTGGGGTTTACGTACCTTAGATGTAGTTTTCATCAGATTTGGAAATTTTTCTTCCATTGTTTTTCAGACATCTTTCTGTCCTTCCCTTGCATTTTTCTAGCACACCAGTAACGTGTTGTACAACTTGATCTTGTCCAGACTCACTAAGGCTTCTGTCTTTTCCTTTCCCCCCCTTCTCAGTCTTGCTTAGTAGGTTTCATTTTCAGTTTCTATCTGCGTGTCTCCAAAATCACTGATCTCTACTTCTTGAGTTTTCAGTCTGTTGTTAAATGTTCAATGTGTTTTCCATTTCTATAAATTTCCTCTTTGTTTTGTTTTATTTTATTTTGTGGTACAGGAGATGGAACTCAGGGAGTGCTGAGCTATGTCCTCAGCCCTTTTCATTTTTTCTTTTGAGTCAGGGTCTCATTATGTTGCCTAGGCTGGCATTGAACTTGAGATTCTCCCGCCCCCGTCTCCCAAGTAGCTGGGTTTACCAGTATGCACCGCCATACCCATAGAAATTCCATTTTAATATTCTTTCTTCCATTTCTCTTCTCGTTATGATCATGTTTTCTTTTATATCCTTGAGTATATTGATGATACTTATAATAGTTGTTTCAAGGCCCTTGTCTGCCGTTTCCATCGTCACAGTTATTTCTGCGTTTCTTTCTGTTGATTGATTTTCCTCTGATTATGGGTCATTTTCCTGCTCCTTTAATGCTTGAGATCTTTTGAGTGGATACAGCAATTGTGAATGTTCTGTTGGTGCTGGACTTTTATTCTGATGTGTATTAAGTAACTTCAACATCAGCTTGGCCCTTTTGGAGCTCGCTTCTGAGCTTTGCTAGGAGGCTTCAGGTCCTTGATTCCAGAGCTGATTTGGTCGCTTCCGGGCCACATGTCCCTCCTCAGCACTGGCCCTGGCTTGCTGAGTGCTGCACGTTGTCAACTCCGTGCTTTCCAGTGATTTCCCCTTGCCTCGGGGTTTCCTTAGCGCGTGTCCAGATCCATGCTCAGCACAGACTTGAGAGGACTCTGCCCGAAAATGACAGCCACCTCAGCCACCAGGAATCCGCTGTCTGACCCCTCGCCCAGCTCAGCCACAGGCAGCTCACTCCCTGCTCCTGCGCTGCAGTTTGGAAACTGCCTGCGGGCAGCGCAACACCACTGCTTCTGTGACCTGGGACTCCAGTCCTGTGTCTCCGGTTGTCCAGTGCCTGATGCTCTTCTCTCTACGTTTTTCTCAGATCCTTGTGCTTATGCTGGGCTGGGCGGTTCGTTGCCATAGCTGTGAAGCTTCATGGGTAGAAGCAGAAACATTCCAAATAGTAACTTTCAGACATCAAGAGAATCAGTCTTCAGTGATTTTTGGATGTTATCTAAACCACTCTGTTTCATGCCTAGATTTTTAAGAAACTGTAGTCTCAATTCATGACTATTGTCACTAGTCTGACCTTTGCCTAATTCTTCACCCAGGTGGATCGAATTATTGGAGGGTCATGATTTTGTTTGTACACAATACCTAAGTAATCCCTTTGCTGGCTACTTTTTCTTTCTTTATCAGTA